TGAGCACAGCGGGACAGAGCCTCGCAGCTGTGCCAGGGCCCTGTGCCCAGGCCTGCTATCAGCCAGTGAGGACGCCAGCCCCCAATCCTCACCGGGCACCGTCCCCTTCATTCCCGGAGGTGAGACGAAGGTCCCCGAGCAAGGCCAGTCCACAGTCCAGACGGAGGGTCCTCCTGCCCTCCCGCCCGCACCCTCCCAGCAGGTGGGCAGCCCTGGGGTGCCCACAGAGCCAGCAGCCTCGCCTCCTGACAACTTTTTCCCTTTTAAGTCATTGAACTGACAACATTGTAATTACACAGATGCAGCTCTTCCCACAGGAGGCCGCAGAGCTGGCTCCCCAGGGGCAGGCAGGCGAGGGGCTCATCAAACCACAGGGCTAGCCTGGAGCCCTCAGGCAGCGGGCACAGCACTCTGACCAGCAGACTGCCCATCAGCACAGGGTCCCCACAGGCAGGGCAGAGACCCTGGCACAGGGACTGGGCAGTACCCCCACCTGGACACTTCTGTGTGCTGCCCCGGGCCTGGCCGGGTACCAGTGACCCCGGGGGGTCACCCCAGAGAGTCACTTCGGTGCGGGAACCCCTCAGCCCGCCCCCAGGCTTCCCACCATCCCCGTTCCCCAGCACACGCCTTCAGCGCCGGCTTGCCAACATCACTCAGGGCCCAGCTTCGTTTGGCCTACACCAGGCCGTGCCCAAGCGCCCAGGGGCACGCAAAGAAATGTGGGTAGACACCAGGCGCCTGGGCAGGGGCTTCACCTGCCACCGGGCCGCAGCTGGAGAAGATGGCAGGAAGCAGCCCGCACCTCCCGCTGCCGCAGCCCCCGGCCCACCATGGCCAGACAGTGAAGACGCCACTGCCGCTCCCTCAGGGCCACTGCGGCCACGGTGCAGGGCTCTGGACACGCACGCAGGCCCCTCTCTTCCCCAACTCCCAGACAGGCTCAGGGGGCCAGGCAGGGCTCCCGGCCCAGGCCAAGGCCATGGGCCAGTAAGAGAGACACCCCGGCGGCCCCAGCCTCAGGAGCCCCCATCCCCCGGAGGACCGGAGTCCCCGCGACCTCCTTCCCCGGGACCCCTGGGGCGCCCGTTACCTGCCCGGGCCGCGTCCACGGAGCCCAGGGGCCGCGCCGAGGCCTGCGCGCCGGGCGGACGCGGGGCCTCCAGGCGGTCCTGCCGCGAGCCCGGACGCTCCCTGCGCGCTGCGCGCGGGGCGGCAAAGGGTTAACCCCGGCGCACACCCGGAGCAGGCGCCCGGCCGCGCCAGGTCCGCAGTGGGGAGGCAGGTGGGGGCGGAGGCGCGCGGGCGCGGCGCGGACTCACCGGGGTCCAAGTGGGAGCTGAAAGCGAAGCTGGGGTTGAAGAAGGGCGACGACATGGCCGGGGCCAGCAGCGCAGGGGGCGCCGTGGGCGCTGCGCTCAGGACGCCCGCGGCCCCGGCCGGCCCATCGCCAGGCGCCGCCGCAGGTGCGGAGCGCGCCGGCCCCGCGCCCCCGGCCTCCGCCGCAGCGCGGGCGCACCGAGGGGGCGGCGACAGGCGAGGGCTCCGGCTGGGGCGGGCGCGCGCGCGGGCACGAGGCTGCAGGGGGCACAGGGTCTGGGGGTGTCCGGGGCCGGGGGTCGGAGCGGCACGCGGCGGGAGCGGGGCGGCCTGGAGCTGCGGGGGCGGGACCGAGGGCAGAGCCGGCGGAGAAGCGCGGAGGGCAGGCTGGCGGGGGCAGGGGCTTGGGGGTGAGAGGGACGCGGGGGCGGCGCCAGAGGCTCGGAGGCGGCCGGAGGATGCGGTGGAGACGCGGAGGCCTGGGCCGGGGAGGCGCGGACAGAGACCAGCGGCCCTGGCGGGGTGCACGGCTTAGGCCTCGGAGGCGCCTGGAGGGGGGTGGTCCCCGCGCGCGCTCTGGGCGGCACCTGCGCTCGGGGTGCGGGGTTCCTCCCGCAGACGCCGCCTGCGCCCGCTGACCGGCCCGGCCCCTCCCGCACCCTTGGGCAGCGCCATCTTGCGTCGTTGCGCCGGAGCCCGGCGGGGCTGGCGCGGGCTGGACAGGGAGCCAGGGTCGGGTGTGCGGAGGGCAGCAGCACCTGGGCCCAGCTGGAAGGCGGGGCAGGGCAAGGGCTCCTAGGCACACCCAGCAGGGTGCATGGAACCCCAGGGAAGCCGGCTGGGGGAAGGGCCCGCTGCCCCACTGCAGGCCGGGCCCCAGCGGGCCTTGCCCCAGCGCGGCTTAGGGAGGCATCCAGAACCTTCCTCCCGGCTGCTTGGAGGACTTCCCCGGCACACTGAGGAGGCAGAGCTGGAGCTCCAGGCATGGCGGGCCCAGGCCCCTCCTCCGCACCTGCTGGTAGCCTGGGGTCCAGGAACCCTGCAACGGCCCCCCTCAGCCAGCCAAAGGGCCGACTCAGCCCCGGAGTGGGGAGGGGCCGGTCCAGACCTCCCACGCGTGCACACATGTACACAGCCGGGCCAGGTCCCACCCTGTTCTGTCTGTGCAACCTCACAGAGCCCACAGGGGCCCGACCCCCAGGACCCCCTACCTGGGATCAGCAGGTGGGCGAGGATTGCTCCTGAGGGCCATGAGGGCCGCAGCCTCAGGCCAGCCCCGTGCTTTACCAACAGAGGCCCGAGGAATGGACTGACCAGCACCCGTTGGGCCCTGGGTGCTCATTCACAGTGGTGGTGTCACAGGCCAGAGGTCAGCCGTGGACACCGCAGGGGCCTGTGCTGTCCTGGTTGCCCCACATGCCCCAGGGTGTGGCCAGGCCGGGAGCCAGGCTGGACACGCGTGCTGGGTTGCACTGAGACAAGGAACACAATGGAGCCGGGGTGAGGGCCTAGCTGCAGCGAGGGTCCCGAGAGTGAGGGGCAGCGTTTGGAAGACCCTGCGGTCACAGCCATCTGTCCCTTGGCAGACAAGCCCATCAAGCAGACACGTTACTGGGCCACCAGCAGGACACAGCCTTGTGCACGCAGCAGGCACCCACACTGGACACATGGCACAGTGGCCCTGCTTGCTGGCCTGGGGTTGGAGTGCAGCTGACGGGGTCGGGCTGCTCTGGGGCTGTGCTGAGCACACAGCACCATAAAATAGGGGGTGAATCCTGCCTCAATAAAGTGAACCCCGTGGCTCTCATCACGGATACTCCAGTGCGGTGTTTCTAGTTTATTTCTCTGATGGCTGTAAGTGCCGGGGCTGGCCAGGCTGAAGCTGGGCACTGCGCCCAGGACTCGCACACGAGGAGGGACCCCGGCACGTGGAGTGTCCCTTGCGACACCACACCAAGTGCCCTCTGCAAGGCAACGCTCCATGTTGACATTAATTCAGTAATCCACTGCGAGCAGTGTGCCCATGCCAGGTTAAGGCAGTGGTGGGGGGGTGGCCTCCAACCTTGTCCTCCTGCCCAGTGCCTCAGGCTGAGGTTGCCGTCACGGAGGCTCACGTGGGGGCCACTGAGCTGGGAGGCGGCTTGCCCGGGGCAGCGGCCATCTGCTGCCCCTTTAGGGCAGGGCGGGCCAGACCAGCTTGCCAGGGCTGGCATCTAGTGCTGTCCCATTGAGCTAGGATTCCTGACTTGTGGCTGCTGCCCTGTTGCCACGGGGGGATCTGGCAGCACTGGCACATTCACTTCACGTGGCCAGCACCTCCGTGGGCCTCTCACGTCACAGCCTCACAGCACGGGCGCTCCTGGCACACGCAGACCACACCGTGGTGACGTCCAAGCCGCCTGTAGGGACAGGCTGGAGAGGCGTCGGGTACCCTTGACGAGCTTTGGGGCAAACTCCCCAGCAAAGGGCTCAGTAGGGTCTGGAGGTGGCCATGCGCCTGGCCACCAGCCCCCAGGAGGAAGCTATATGACAAGCCACAGCCACAACTTCCCGCTAGGTGAAGCTCCCACAGCGGGTCTGGAGTCACAGGGGCCTGTCCCCAGCGCCCCCCCCCACCCCCCGTGTATCTGAAAGTCAGCTCTGATTGTAGCTCACTCCCTAGGTGGCTGCAACGGCCAGTGTTGTGCTAGGCCCAAGCTTGGGGACACCTACACCCCATGTGGAATACCAGGCTTCAGTCCCTGCTGACACACCTGGGGAGGGCGGTCTGGTCCTACCACCCACGGGGGAACCAGGTGTGGGTCCAGGCTCCTGGCTCTGCCCTGGCCGCTGTAGGGCTTGGGGAAATGTGTGTCCGACAGACTTGATTCATTCCAGGACACAGCAGTGTCACTGGGACACAGCACAGGCCTTCTGGGAGTGATCCGCCGGGACAGGCTGCTGTCCCCACTTGCCTGGGCTGGACACACCCTAGGGGCACAGCCTCTAGCCCTGGGAGGTCAGTTGGCCAGCCCAGTATGGATGTTCCAAGTGGTGGTGAGCCCCTGGGGTGGCCAGGCCAGGCAGAGGACAACCGGAGCCCAGACTGGAGGCCCATGCCCCATCCACTGGCTCCCCAGAGCCCGGGGTTACCTGGCAGAGCTTCTAGCTGCCCAGGAAGCATGGCTGTGGGCACAGGGCTGGACAGCATGGGCCTCATCATGCCCAAGATGAAGTAGCCACAGGACGTAGGAGGGCGGGGAGGCGGCTGGCTCCTGCCGGCTGCTCCGTCAGCCCAGGGGGGTCCTAGCTGTGTGGGCTGATGGAGGGTACACGCAGCTGTGCCAGTGCAAGCTCCATGGGTGTGGCGAGGGGGTATGGGCACCCATTCTCCAGGGAATGAATGGAGATCAGGAAGGGCTGGCAGGTCCAATGTCTGTGGACTAGGGCACACTGGGACCTGTCCCTGTGGGACTCTGTCTCCACCACCCCTCCCCCCTGCCCACAGCATGCCCCGCACCCCGCAGGTGGCTCTGTCTGCCCCCGGGCCAAGATGGACAAGGACTTCTCCCACATGGAGATGGTGTGAGACCCTGCGGTGTAGCGCCTGCAGCCGGAGCGTCACCCACCCCAGGGTGCTGAGCTGGAAGGGCGGAGGGCCTGTAAGCCCACGAAAAACAGCAACGCTGACCACTGGAGCATGGTCCCTTTACTGAGAGACCAGCAGGGAAGTCTGGCTCGGCGAGGGCAGGCGGCAGAGTGGGGGTGCAGGCTGCACGGGCACTGCCCCGCCTGGCTCCCGGGGCGTCACTTGGCTTCGTTTGGTGCTCGGGGCGGCTGCCGTTGCCGCTGCAGCAGCCCCTCCAGGTGGTCCGCACGCCTCACCGCGGCCTGCAGCAGTGCGCAGGGTGAGCCCAGGGTCCCGCCCAGACCGGCTGCAGCCACCCCCTCCCCAGGGCGGCGCTGGCACCACCTCATGCTGCCTCCGCAGGCTGTCCACGGCCTCCTCCTTCTTTGCCAGGGCAGTCTTCACCCTGAGGGGGACACGGGGTGGCTCTCATGTAGTCCCTCAGCCGTGGGTCAGTGTGTGGCCCTCAGGGGACCCCAGGAAGAGCTGCCCTGTTGTCCTGTCTGCATGGGTGTGGCACCCGGTGATCCTGAGATGTACTGGAGGCCAGGCTAAGGTGGGTAAGGAATGCCCCTGCCCCTGGCCCCTCCAGATGCTCAGTGCGTAGGGTGGCATTGCACAGGGACCCCTCAGATCCCCCAACAGCTCAGTCCTTACAGGTCCTGGTCCCACGGAGCCCAAGCCTGTGGCACAACTGGGGTCCCGTGACGAGGCCACAGGCTCTGCCTACAGGAGGGAGGACCCACCCCTACCCCCGCCTGGCTGGGCACTGAAGGGCCTGCAGGCCCCCTGCCCACCTCCGGTGCACCTCGTCCAGCTCCAGCCGCTGACAGGCCTGCAGCGCTGCCAGCTCAGCCTTGACCTGTCGGTTCTCCTCCTCAGAGGCTGCCAGCTGCTTGGCAAACTCCTGGCGGACCACCTGTGCCAGGTTACCTCGCTCGGCAGTCAACCGCTCGCTCACCTGGGGGCAGGGCCGGGGGAGAGTGCCCAGGGCTGGTGAGAGAGGTCTGGGCTGAGGCGGCTGGGCTGGCATGTGTGCGGGCACGGGTGCGGGCTGGCATGTGGGCATGCAGGACACGGGCGCGGGCCGGCGTGTGGGCATGCGGGGCACGGGCGCGGGCCGGCGTGTGGGCATGCAGGACACGGGTGCAGGCCAGCGTGTGGGCATGCGGGGCACGGGCGCGGGCCGGCGTGTGGGCATGCAGGACACGGGTGCAGGCCAGCGTGTGGGCATGCGGGGCACGGGCGCGGGCCGGCGTGTGGGCATGCGGGGCACGGGCGCGGGCCGGCGTGTGGGCATGCGGGGCACGGGCGCGGGCCGGCGTGTGGGCATGCGGGGCACGGGCGCGGGCCGGCGTGTGGGCATGCGGGGCACGGGTGCGGGCCGGCGTGTGGGCATGCGGGGCACGGGTGCGGGCTGCCTCACCGCACGCTCCTGCTGCAGCTCCTTCTCCCTCTGCCGCAGCAGACCCCGCAGGCGCAGGGCCTCCCCCTCGGCCTCCCCCAGGCGCCCCTGCAGCTCGGCGCAGCGGCCCTGCAGCTTCCGCTCCGACTGCTCCAACTCCTGCAGCTCTGCCTCGTATTTGTCCCTGACACGCTGGACACTGCGGGCGGAGAGCAGGCAGGTCCGCGTGCCAGCACGGCCTCCGCCCGCCCCCTCACCGCCCCACCGCCCCTCGCCGCCCCTCACCGGCTCTCGGCCGCCCTCTCGCCCTCCTCCCTGGCCTGCGTCGTGTCGGCCTCCAGCCGCCGAATGACCGCCTCGATCTCCCTGTCCCGCTCCTGGCGGAGCTCCTCCCTCAGGGCCCGCTCGTGCTGCCGCAGCCAGGCCTCCTGGGGGGACAGGGCTGAGTCAGCACCCCAACATGGTGGGCAGGGTACCCAGGCGGCCCCAGACGCAAGGCTCACCTCCTTCTTGGCACAGCTGGCTGTCCAGGCCTGGCGCTCGGCCTCCAGCTGGTCCTTGAGGGCCGCCAGCTCCGCCTGCAGGGGAGGGGCCATGAGAGCCACCTGGGCCAAGGCCAAGGCCAAGGCCAGGGCCGCTGGGGTCGGGGCCCTCGGACCTGGTGCCGCCGCTCCTGCTCCTCCTGGCCCCTCTCAAACTCGGCCCTCAGGGCCCGGGCCGACTCAGACGTGCTCTGCTCCAGCTGGCGTCTCAGCTCCTCCAGCTCGGCCCGCTGCCTGCGGGGGTCCGGGGTCAGTGGGGGTGGGCGGCAGGGGTCAGCGGGTACAGAGTCGCCCTGGGCGGTACCTGGCCGCCTGCTGGCCCAGCCGCTCCTTCTCGGCCACCACCTCGGCCTGCAGCCGCCGCCGGTGCTGCTCCAGGGCCAGCTGCTCCTGCTCCAGCTGCTGCTCGAACCTGCTTGCGGGGGCGGCCGGTGGCAGGTCAGCCCCAGCTCCCGCGGCCCACAGCAGCCCAACCCCCACGGGGGCCACAGGCCTCTCACGGAGCCTGCTCGGCCACTTCTGCCACCACCTCTGCCCAGCAGCCTCTTAGGGAAGCCCAGGGGACCATGGGGTCGGGTGGGCCCACTGGACACTGCTGCCCACCCAGTGGACATGGCCGGACGTGGCCCTCAACCACCAGCCTGGTCACGCCTTGGAGCGGGTTCCGCCTGGGGAGCCCGGCCCAGCCCAGCGCCCAGCCCGAGGCCCACCGCTGCCGGGCACGCTCCCGCTCCTGCCGGCCCAGCTCCTCTTTCTCCTGCTCCAGGCGGACACGCAGCTCCTCCACCTGGCGCAGCTGCCGCTGGGCAGCCCGCTCCTCCGCCTGCTGCAGCTCCGCCTCGTGCAGGCCACGCAGCCGCCGCAGCTCCTGCTTGTGCTTGGAGATCAGCCTCTGCACCTCGGGCTCCAGGCCTGTGGAGGGGGGCATGCTGCAAGGGGACCCCGTGCCCCCCGCCTCTCGGCTCAGGTCCACGTCCTGCGGCAGCCGCCCCGTCCCACGCTAGTCCTAAGGGGCCAGGACGGGGCTGTGGCCACTGTCTGCAGCCCTAACCCTTCCTGGGACGGTCCCGTGCTGCTGCGGCCACAGCCACCGCTCTCTCCGAGAGCCCCCAGCCACCTGGCCCTGACCCCCCGCCCACCTCTGACCTGACCCCCTCACCTCTGACCTGACCCCCTCACCTCTGACCTGACCCCCTCACCTGACCTGACCCCCTCACCTCTGACCTGACCCCCTCACCTGACCTGACCCCCTCACCTCTGACCTCACCCCTCACCTCTGACCTGACCCCCTCACCTGACCTGACCCCCTCACCTCTGACCTCACCCCCTCACCTCTGACCTCACCCCGTCACCTGACCTGACCCCCTCACCTCTGACCTGACCCCCTCACCTCTGACCTGACCCCCTCACCTGACCTGACCCCCTCACCTCTGACCTCACCCCCTCACCTCTGACCTGACCCCCTCACCTCTGACCTGACCCCCTCACCTCTGACCTGACCCCCTCACCTGACCTGACCCCCTCACCTCTGACCTGACCCCCTCACCTCTGACCTGACCCCCTCACCTGACCTGACCCCCTCACCTCTGACCTCACCCCTTCACCTCTGACCTCACCCCTCACCTCTGACCTGACCCCCTCACCTCTGACCTCACCCCTCACCTCTGACCTCACCCCTCACCTCTGACCTGACCCCCTCACCTCTGACCTCACCCCTCACCTCTGACCTCACCCCTCACCTCTGACCTCACCCCCTCACCTCTGACGGTGATCTCCTTGATCCTCCTGGCCTTCTCATGGATCCACTTCTCCCTGCGGACTTTCTCGGCCGCGCTCATCAGCTCTTTGAGCTTCTTCATCTCCTGAGGACGAGGCCCGGGGAGTCAGGAGATGCTCCCGGGCCAGAGGCTGAGCTCATGCCGCAGGAGTGCAGCTGGCCTGGACCCGGCTCCCCACACAGGCCCCGGCTACGTGGGACCTAGGCTGGTCCTCTACCCCGGCCTTAGCCCCAAAGGCACCAGGCAGCTGCGGGGCACGGGGGGAGCCCCGGACACACCAGCTCGTGCTGCTCCTGCATATGGGCTGTCTGCTCCCGGTTCCGCTGGTCCCCAAGCTTCAGCTCGGCCACCACTGCTTCGCACTTCTGGCTTAGTACCTTCTTGTCCTCAATCAGCTGTGGCAATAAAAGCGGGGAGCTGAGGCTCTGCCCCGGATCGGGGGAACCCTTCTCCCAGGGCCTCCATCCCGAGCCTTAGATCTGTCAGACACGCAGTATAGACAGCCTCGGGCTTGCCCGGGACAAGTCACTGGGTCACCAGCCTGGGATGGGGACGGCCCCCTGGACATGTGGACACAATGACGCTGGCCACCAAAGCCACCTCTGCTCCGCACAGCCCTGAGCCTCATGCTCGCTGGGAGACTGGCTGCCCGGCAGCCCCCACGGCACAAGTGGACACTCCCTGGGCGGGCTCAGCTCGGGCAACACGGCAGAGCCTTGGGCTCCTCCAGCAAACCCGCCCCTCTGCACGCCTGGGCGGCAGGGCGCGTATGGCCGCACCACAGGAGCCCAGAAGGCTCTAGAAGCCCCGTGAGCCCCGTGCTACCTGCTCTGGCCCCAGCTCCTGTCACCTGGTCGATGAAGGACAGATGGCGCTGGGCAGCGGCCTCGTAGTGCTCCCTCTGCTGCCGCAGCTGCCTGTCCAGCTCCTTCTGGGCCTCCCGGACCCTGCGGGCGGTGAGGTCGTGCTGCTGTGCCTGCAGGGCAGAGGGGACAGTGCTGGCCTGGCTCCCCGGCAGGGCCAGCGCGTGGGGAAGGTGGGGCGGACGTTACCAGAGCCCTCCGCAGCAGCCCCAGCGCCTGCTTCTTTTCCTCCACTTCCAGCCTCAGCCGCATCACCGACGCATTCGCCTCCGGTGACAGCTCAGGGCACCTCGGCCCAGCCTCCGCCTCCTGCCCCTGTAGACACGGACAGGCCCTGGGCAAGCAGCCCACTGCTGGGGAGCGGGAGCTGGCTGGAGACACGCTGTGGGGCGACCCCACAGCCCCTCAGTTGGGAAGAGTCCCGTGGCCAGAGCCAGGGCCGCAGAGGGGACCCATGGGGCGCAGAGGGGACCCGTGGGGCGCAGAGGGGACCCGTGGGGCGCAGAGGGGACCCGTGGGGCGCAGAGAGGACCCACAGCATCAGGAGCCGAGCACAGGCCACTGACAGTGCCGTCCCCCGCCTGCGGAGAACCAGAGCAGCTGCCGGGTGCCCGTGGGGCAGCTCGCACCTCGCCCGAGCGGACCGGCCGCTCCTGCTCCCCGATCTCCATCTCATCCAAGAAGTTCAGGATGCTCTGCAGCTTGGCCTCGGACAGCAGCGTCCCGTCGGCAGCCTCGGACGAGGCCGCGTCCAGCTCCCCCAGCCGCTGCAGGTTGTCAGCCGTCAGCGAGCTGGTGGTGTCCTGCGGGCGGGACCGGCCCGGGCGGTTGGGGCCGCTGGGGAAGGGTGTGGCAGGGCAGGGCCAGGAGGGGCAACCAGCACTGGTGTCCCAGGCCTTCAGGGGCTGCTGCCCGAAACTGCACAGGCCAGCCTCCCCGTAGGCCTCCCAGGGAGGGGACGCCGACACAGGCCCCAGGTCACCTCGTCCATCCAGGCGTATCTCTCCTTGTGACAGGCCCTGGGCGGGGGAAGTGGCTCCGGCTCCTCCTCCAGCAGCCTCAGCGTGTCCAGCAGCTCGTCCAAGGTCGTCCTGGGCTGAACCTTGCTATGGGTCAGGTCCTCATTGGCGACACTGGGACCGGCCTGGGGACATGGGCAGCGGGGAGCCAGAAGGGCTGCTGATGACCGAGCTTGGGCCAGGGCCTCCTGTGCCGACTCTTGTGGCCGCAGCCACCCGACCACCCACCCCAGGGAGAGCTCCCTGGGCCACAGCCTCAGCCCTGACCAGGGTGGACCCCTCAGCACTACAGACCTGAGGCTTGTCTGCCGGGGATCGTGGGGGCTCGAAGGGCTGGCTAGAGGCGGCTGGGCAGGGACCTGCTGGACCTGCAGAGCTGACGCCGGCCCCTGTGTGGCAGGAAAATGGCCCATCACAGGCAGCCAAACAAGCCAGGGGCAGGTCCCACGGAGCTCCGATGTCGGGGTGTAGGGCCAGGGAGGCTGGTGCACCCCAGGACCCCAGCCTCTCTGCTCCAGGGGGTCACTTGGTCTGGGACCAAGCATCCAGGAGCCACCACGGATAGGTTAGCCCAAGACAGTGAGGCAGGGCATAGCCCTGGGAGCCCTGTGGGGCTGCACCTCCCAGCCAGCAGGAGGGAGGGGGCAGCAGCCTGTGTGTGCGGGAGGACAAGGAGGGGCAGAGGCCTGTGTGTGTGCGGGAGGACAGGGAGGGGCGGCTGGGCTCACCCCCATTGGCATTATTGGTTTTGATGGCAGGCCGGGGGGTCCCTGATGCACCGGCCCTCCAGGGTTCCTGGGGCAGCCCGGGCTCCGTGTTGCTGGACTTCTGGGCCCGCTTCTGTTGCAGCTCCTGGCAGGAGCAGGATGGGGGCCTGTGTGAGTCCCCCAAGGGAAGGTGGCCCCTAGCCCTCGCCCGGCCCCCAGGTACCTGAATGGCCGCCTGCCTGGCCTGGCGGGCCTTCTGCTCACGGGCCTTCCTCCGTGCTGCTGCCTCATGCCTGTGAGCATCCAGGAGGCTCTCTCGGGCTGGCTGCTGCCGCTGCTCCTGCACAGGCAGAGGCCATGGCACCCATGGATGTGCAGGACAGAGCCCCTGACCCCAGGTCACCAGAGGTCCGGGAACCAGGGCACACCCCTAGGGAGAGTGAGGCAGAACTGGCCACCTCTGCTCTTCCAAGGCCAAGTGTGGCCCCTGGGCTCTGCATCTCAGCCAGCAAGCTTCAGTCTGGGCTTGGCAGGTGGGTTACCCAGCCCAGGGATGGACACGAGGGCCAGGCTGGCACAGGGCACAACTCCAGGCCCCTTGCGCCAGCACCCTGGACGCACCTCTCCAAGTGTCCCCCAGGAGCAGCCTGGCATGACCCTGCACCTACACCGACCTCTCGCTTGGATGCCAGCAGGCGCTCCAGGCTGGCAGCTCCTGCGTGGTGACGCTGCACCTGCCGACGGTACCAGCGCTGGATGGTGATGGCAGCCTGGTTCACCTGGTGGATAAACCTGCCCAGAGGGCAGGACTCAGGACAAGCCCGCGTGGACCCAGGCCGATGGCCAGGCTCAGCCTGCTCCACCGAAACCCACAGCCCAGCCCGGGCGCCCCCGTCTCGGCCTCCTCCTGCTCCCACAGCCCAGCCCGGGCGCTCACCTCTCAGCCTCCTCCTCGGTCACCTCCGTCCTCCGCGGGCTCCTGGCCACTGGGGCCACGTCCCCTGCCGCCGGGCTGCTGCTCACATTCTTCGGAGCCTTCCGGAAGCTGCCACCCGCACAGGTGGCCGCCTTGACAACATTGCTGACAGCCAGAAACGGAGTCAGGCTCATCAACCCACCCCCAGACGGGCACCGGGTACCTCAGCCTGCAGCCCCCAGCAGTGCCCAGTGAGTACGGGGCAGGGCACGGCACAGCTGGCAGCTTCCCTGGCCCTGACTGTCTGCTCCCTCCTCAGCCCTTGGACAGGGAGACAGAGCGAGAGAGCCGTCGGCGCATTGCTCCTGTGGACCAAGGGCCAGGGGGACGGAGAGAAACCGCCCACCCGCCGCTCCACTCAGTGCCCAACAGCTCAGCACTGGGGCCACCCGCTCCTGCCCCCAAGCTGGGTCAGAGGCACCACAGCAGGACCAGGACCAGCACCCCACCGAGGGGTGGAGGGCTCCTGGGCAAGCTTGGCCCTTGCAGCGTCCACCGCAGCCTTACTTGAGGGAGGGAGCTGCCTGGTTGGAGCTCTTGGGGGCAGCACCCCTCTGCCCGGGAGCGTAGCGGTTGCGCACCATGGCGGTGACACAGTTGCCCACAGCTGCCTTGCTGCTCCTATGGCAAAGGGAGGGTCAAATGGCAGGGGCGGCCGCCTGCTGGGGCCACGCTGTGGGCAGAGCTTACATGCACAGGGAGGATTCCAGCCAGTGAGGTCAGTGGTCCTAATGGCCCCCCAGGCGCCCCCTCGGCACCTCTCCAGCCCCACCCCCAATGCTGCCCAGCGCCCCCCGCCCCAGGCTGAGATGGGTGGGGTCCTCTCTAGACGCCTGGCTGTGTGCCTGCTGCCTGGGGCTCTGTTTGGGGGCACATGGGCAGGGGCCAGGCCTTGGGTCAGGGGCCGACCAGGGCTCCGCACCTGTTGTTGGCTGTGAAGTTGGCCGCCAGGGCCCTGGTCTGCTCTCCGCCCTGCAGGTCTGACGGTGGGTCGCAGGCGTTCTCGCTCCGGGCACTGGGTGCCCAGCCGGAGCCCCGGGGCTCCTCACCCTGCACGGTGTCACACACTGCTCCCACTGGGCACCCACGCCTCCCGCCCCCACCCCAGGGCCATGGGCATGCCACCCTCACCAGCACATTCCACATGGCTCCCTTCTCGCTGGCCGCCTTGCTCAGCTTGGCCGTTCTCTTCCCCTGGTCAGGGCTACCCTCAAAAAGTGCCAGGAAGTCAGGGGGCTCCCCAAGCCTGCATGCAGAGAATACGCGTGACCCCAGCACAGCCACGTGCATGGAGGGGCGGGGGTGCGGTGGTCACAGTCATGGACTCAGGCCAAGCACATGCGGCCCAGCACCCCCAGTGCCCACCAGGACCACTCCCGTGGCTCCCACGGTCTGACACAGCCCTTGGCCCACGGTGTCTCTGCCTCAGCCCCGCCCATCACTGCCAGGCGTACACGCTGACTGATGGCTCACAGGCTGGGACTGCAGGGCAATAGGAGGGGCTGCAACCAAAATGGGGCCAACACGGGGGTCAGGGACGGAGCCACGGACCCCTGGAGAGAGCCACGGCCGGCCAGCTGTCAACACACCCCACGGGGTGGGCCCTGCCAGCGTCCTGAGGGCACAGTTGCCCAGCACACATACCACATGCATGAACAGCAGGTGTGGGCAGTGTTAGTGCCATAGGGGCCACCAGGATGCCCCATGCCCACACCAGCCAGTAAGCAATGGGGCAGAGCTGCGGGCTGCAGCAGGGGCCCTGGGCTCACAGCTCCATGTGGCCGCCCCACCTGCACTCCAGTGACAGGGCACAGGCCATCACTCTGAGCCCCGAGCCCTGCAGCTGGCCTCAGGGCTCACGGGTCCAGTTACCTGGGCGGGGAGCCGGGCCATGGCTGGCCAACCTGCGTGGCGCTGCTGGACCTCCGGAGGTTGTTGATGGCCTGGGAGTCTGCGGGCCCCGCTGCCTCCTACGCACAAACGGGACACAGCAGTTAGGGGTCCGCTGTGGCCCCAGGACATGGCCTACGCAGGTGAGGGGCTCCTGGCCAGGCTGCTGAGACGTGGCCTTCTAGCAAGGGCTGTGTGGGCGCAGAGGAGCAGAGACGAGGCCTGGCCAGGGCTGTCAGCATGGTCACCACCTTCGCTGACCAGCAAGCTCCCAGAACCCCAGGGCACCTGGGCCCGTTTCTTCACGTGCTAAGGCCTGGGCTCTGGTGAGGAGTTCCAGGCAGGCAGATGGCCATGGAGCCAGAGACCCCTAGGGCTGCCGCCGGCCTCTGCCTGGACCCTTGTGGAGAGACAGGAGATGCTGTGGGGGCAGAGGGCAAAAGAGGGCTGAGTCACCAGGGTTTGTGTGGCTGCCAGCCGATGGTGCAGCAAGGGGCATGGCAGGGTACAGCTGGCAAGAGCCAAGGACCAACAGCTCGCCCATCCGTGGGACCTCATCCGGGCTCGGCTCAGACCCACCGTGGAGCACGACAGAAGGGCGCCTCAGCAAGCACATGGAGAAGGCGGCCAGCAGAGTGACATCGCACACTAAGCCTCCACCTGCAACACCAGCGTTCCACGGTGCCAGTTCGAGTCCCGGCTGCTCCACTTTCAATCCAGCTCCCTGCTTACGCAGCTGGGACAGCAGTGGAGGACGGCCCAAGTGCTTGGACCCCTGCCCCCACATGGGAGACCTGGACAAAACGCCTGCTCCAGTTATGGAGCCATTTGGGGCCTAAATCACCGGGCGGCCAGCCTCCCTCTGCTGACCTTCTCTCTCTACAACTCCTCCAAGTAAATAAGTAAGTAAATCCTTTTCAACGTGTTTGATTTTGGTGCAGGAAATCTTGAACTCCAAGAGCAGTTTTCTGCGGAAAGGCCATCTTGGTTGACTTCCAGACGCCTGTCTACACTCCAAGGACACAGACACACGGCCAGGGCTGTGGCCCTGTGTGCAGATCAGACAGGGCACGGGACGCCCCCAGGCCACAGCCTGGCTTCCAATGCCCGGACACCGGCCTGCAGGTCAGCCGAGAGGCAGGCCTGGCCCCCTGCAGAGACTCACCTGTGACCTGCTTCAAAGCATGCACGGGTGTGGGGTGGGGGTCAATGCTTGGGGGCCCCGACCTCGTATGAGACACCTGTTCAAGCCCCAGCTCCCTGCTAACGTGCCTGGAAGGCGGCAGGTGTCTGCCCCGCGCCCCTGTGCAGGAGGCCCTGATGGAGCGCCTCAGTCCAGACCTGAGCCTGGCCCAGTCCTGGCTCTCGCGGCCCCCTTCAGAGTGACCCAGGATGCAGGCTCTCTCTGGGACACGGCCTCCCGAATACACAATCTTGTAAAACGCGCATGTGGGGTGACTAAATGACTCACACACATCAGGGCGAGGGGCTCCCCAGGACGTCAGGGGCAGGGGTCCACTCCCTGACAAGTGCCACAGGGTAAGGGGGCGCCTTGGAAGGAACTGGGAGACCAGCAGCAGCAGAGTCACAGGTGGATCACGACACGCGCAGAACAGAACTCCAGGCCTGGCCTTGAACTCGCTGTGGGCCCACACTCACCAGCACTCTGCTCCGGGGCCTGCTGCCCGAGACCACCGACACCGAGCGGACGAGGGACCGACAGGTGGAGGCGCTGCCCGGGCGCCGGGACACGGGCGGGGGCAGGCCGGTCAGACACAGGTCCAGGGCCTCGGGGCTACTCTCGGGGGTGCTGGGGGTCGCACGTGAGCTTCGCATGGTGGACGGACGAGGCAGGCCCTGCGAGGGAAGCCACAGTGAGCCACGGCCCCCGCAGCTCAGGCTTGGGCCACCTGCCTGGGAGCGCAGAAGCCATATCTGAGCCCATCTCCGAGGTGAGGCTGGGCAGCAGCGTGGACAGCGGAGAGAGGCCGGACCTCCCCGGCGAGGCCAGCCTGGGATGGCCCCACACTCTGGGCGGCTGCTCCGTGAGAGGGACCGGGGAGGTGAGCGCCGTGGCCTCGGCCAGCAGCCTGGGTCGCCGAGGCGACACCGGACACACCCGGCTGGTAAACACAGCCTCTCCATGGGAACCTGGGAGCCGGCGCCAAGGAGGCCCGGGGGGCCACCTCGCCAGGAAGGGGCGGCATGGGCGGCCTGGCTCCCAGGGTCCAAGCGGGGCAAGCCCGGCGCTCCCCTCTCCCCGGGCCCGAGGGGGCCGGACGGGACTCCATGCTGCCCCCCGGGAGCGTGCAGAGCTCCCCGCCTGCGTGCACCCCGCACCTGCGCGCCCTTGACCCAGGCGACCCCCGACCCCTCTCACCTGCGCGGGCCAGGCCTGGGCGAGAGGCCCGCGGACGCGGCCGGCGGGAGGACGCGCGGACCGGGGACCACAATGCGGCGGCCACTAGCAACCAGCCGGGCCCCGCCCCCGCTGTCCGTCACGCCGGCCCGCCCTCCCTGCGCGCACCTCTCCACGATTGGACCTCGGACCGCCAGTCCTGGCAATGCCGGGCGCCCGTTGAGCCTCTCGGCTGTCCTTCACAGGGTTCCAGCGTGCGATTGGACAAGATCCTAGGGGGCGGGGTTTGTGGGGGCGGGACCAGAACCGATGGAGCCGAAAGCAGCAGGGCAGAGGCGGAGCCAGAGAGAGCGGGCGGGGCGCGGCTGGCCGGGGGCGGGGACAGATAGAGTGGGCGGGGCCAGAGGGAGCGGGCGGGGCGCGGCTGGCCGGGGCGGGGCCAGAGGGAGTGGGCGGGGCCTGTCAGCGGGGCCGACGCGGGAGCAAGGCTGCCCCAGGAGGGGTTGTGGCCTCTCTCCGTGGTTGAAGGCTGTTCGGTCCGCTGGCCTCAGGTGGACATGGTGGACCTCCAGCCCGACCTTCAGCGTCTGGGGTCCACCAGGGTCTGAGCGTGCCGACAGCGACGCCCCGTCCATGGGGGACAGGTCACCCACACGGTGGACACCGGCTGCCCCGGGGCCGGTCACTCCCAGGCCCTTCGGGCAGCTGTCCTTCCATGGTGGAGGTGGCGGCCGCGCAGTGTTCCCGAGGGCTGTGGGATCCCGCCCTGCACTGTTGGCTTTTACCAGTTTATTCACTTGGAAGACCGTGCCCAGCAGGAAGGGGCAGCTGCCACCTGCTGGCCCGCACAGGCGGGAAGCAGGGGACACTCGGAAGGCAGGCCAGCAGGCGCCTCGCACTGCTACATCTCCCTGACAGCTGCTGAGGTCGGGTCCGGCCTGCACGGGACAGCCCCGTGGACAGCCACGCACCTGCCCGAACCCGCACACCCTGCCGGGTTTAGCGGCAGGGGTGGGGTACCGGCCACGGAGCCTTTAGGAAGGCCCTCAGGGGAGTGACCCGTGTCTCCCACCAGCCTTTATTTTTATTGGAAAGGCAGATTTACAGAGGGGAGAGGCAGACAGATCTTCCATCTTCTGGTTCTCTCCCCGAGAGGAAGCAACAGCCAGAGCTGAGCCGATCTGAAGCCAGGAGCCAGGAGATTCCTGCGGGTCCCCTTGTGGGTGCAGCGCTTCCCCAGGCCACAGGCGGGGAGCTCGGTGGCAAGTGGAGCAGCCCGGACTTGAACTAGAGCAGGATGGCGCCGTAGGTCCCAAGGTCTAACCCACTCTGCCATGAGGCTGGCCCTCTCTAGCTGTCGGACTCAAAGAGCAGTAACGCAGCAATGCACTGGCGTAGCTATGGCACAGAAACAAGTTTTAGGAGAAATCACAACATACTCTGAGTGTCATTAAGAAAACATGTTAACTTTCATGGCTGTCCCACCACAGTGCTCAGAGGAGACCCCCAGCCCTGCGTGTCAGGCACGCAAGGCCTCCGCGACTGGAGGGAGAAGCCCCAAGTAGTCAGGAGATTAAAATGAGCGGAAATTAACCAAGACAGGAAAACACTGGAAAAAAAAAAGTGAGGGCTGGGTGGAGGGGCAGCCCCGGGGCCCGCCCGTGCCCCACGCAGCAGCAAGTCCTCCCGGCCACAGGGACACTGAGAGCCGGGTGCAGGGGTGGAGGAAGAGCAGAGACCAGGCGGTCCCTCCAGCGCTGCCGGAGGAGACATTTATTCTCAGCCGGGCACTCTCCTGAAGCCTGACCTGTAGGATGTACAGCTGGGACACAGGCAGGCCGGCACAGTCCTGGCCTGGGCCCACCTGACAGACAGGTGGCGGGGACCCAGCAGCGGCCCCAGGTGCCCTGGGAGCCCAAGGGCAGCACTCAAGGCCCTCACTGTTACGGGCATCTGAGTGCAAACGGCCAGCTGTTGGCCCAGGTCAGGGGAGGGACGTGACCCTGGCGAGGGCAGGGGGCGGGCTGAGGGCCACCCAGAAAGCACGTGGCTTGGCTGCAGCTCTGCTGGACGTGGCAAGGGCCTCTGTGGGCCTGGGCGGCTGACGTGTGGTGGGGGGCAGCGGGGCAGGCTGAGATTGCAGTCTGTAGCTCCCCACAGCCCCCAGGCCCACCGCAGCGTCTGGGGCGAGCGCTACCCACACCAGAGCCCCGGAAAGGGTGGGGTAGTCCCGGAAGAAAGACAGGACCAGCCAGCTGTTCTGTGCAGGAAACCCCCGCAAGTGGCCGCTCCCAGGTCATCAGGCATTTAAGAAAGCGAAAACTGACTGCCCCGAGCCGGCTGCTCCCTGCGCCAAGGTCTGGGAAGCCTGGGCGCCCGGGCATGGTGTGGGGGGGGCCTCTGTTGCAGGGCCAGGCCCCGCCAGGCGTGGAGAGGGACAAGCCACCAGATCCATGCCAGCAAACAGGGAGGTGACTTGCTCTGGCCTGGTCTCAGCCTGCCCGATGTCCCCGGGCACTGTGGTGGGCACAGGACTCCTGGGTGAGATGGGGGCAGGGCTCAGAGGCTGCAGGAAGGCCTGGTCCACGGCGGGTGGCACTGCAGTGGTCAGCAGGTCGGTCGAGCTGTCCGGGGCAGTGGTGGTGGCAGGGCCAGGCCAGGCTGGGGGCAGCGGGGCAGGGGGCCGCTGCCCGCAGGAGGCTTCCAGATGCCTCAGGATCTGTAAGCGGAAGCAGAAGTGGGGCTGGCAGTGTGGGCATGGTGCCCTCTGTCTACTCCCCTGTGGGTAAGCCCAGGGGTGGGACACTGGCTGGCAGGTGGGTCCAGTATGGCAGTGGGGAGTGCTGACCACGCACCTAAGTCCCACTTACAAAGGGATATTTCCTGCCCAGGGCACCATGGAAACCGTGGCCTGGGATCACCCCTGGCAAGGAGGCATCGGCAAGCAGGAATGGGGCTGGACTCTGTGGCCAAGGACCACACTGTGGACAGGAAGCAGCATGGAAGCTCCAAGGCAGGGCTGGTGGGCACAGTGGAAGGCCACCACCTGTGCCCAAGCACCGGGCAGCCAGGAGCTATGTCACAGGTGCTGCCCAGCAGGGCCAGGGGCCAACAGAAAGGGAGCAAGCACAGAAGGCAGGACCTGATCAGCGTCTCCTCTAGTGGACAGTACGAGGGCAGGGAAGGGTGACCCACGGCCCCTGCTGCCACTCACCTTTGTGGCCTTGTTGGTGACGGGTCCAGGGCTGCCCGAGCTCAGCTCCTGCAGCCGAAGGCGGGTGAGGGCAAGGATGAGTTCCTGGGGAAGCAGGTCGGCATGCCCAAGGGCAGCGATGGCACCCAGCGCCCTCTGTAGGGAGGGTGGAAGTCAGTACCACAGCACCTGTGCCCAACCCGAGGGGAGCAGCCACTGGGTACCTGCGCCCAACACCAAGGGCAGGCCTTGGGGCCCGGGGGTGGTGAGGTAGAGTACAGCCAGCCCACAACACACACAGTGTGGGCAAGCAGGCCAATGCACGTGTAAGACCCCAACACACAAGTACACACGGGACCACCTGCTCACACACACACACACACGGGACCACCTGCTCACACACACACACACACGGGCACGCCTGCTGACACACACACACACACGGGCACGCCTGCTGACACACACACACACGGGACCACCTGCTCACACACACACACACACAGGACCACCTGCTCACACAAACACACACACGGGACCACCTGCTCACACAAACACACACGGGCACACCTGCTCACACACACGGGACCACCTGCTCACACACACACACACACGGGACCACCTGCTCACACAAACACACACACGGGACCACCTGCTCACACAAACACACACACGGGCACGCCTGCTGACACACACACACACGAGCATGCCTGCTGACACACACACACACGGGCACGCCTGCTGACACACACACACACGAGCATGCCTGCTGACACACGGGCACACCTGCTCACACACACGGGCACGCCTGCTGACACACACACACACGAGCATGCCTGCTCACACACACACACACACACAGGCACGCCTGCTGACACACCCACAGGCACAGCTGCTCACACACACACAGGCACGCCTGCTGACACACACACACACGCCTGCTGACACACACACACGAGCATGCCTGCTGACACACACACACAGGCACACCTGCTCACACACACACAGGCACACCTGCTCACACACACGGGACCACCTGCTCACACAAACACACACACGGGCACGCCTGCTGACACACACACACACGAGCATGCCTGCTCACACACACACACACACAGGCACGCCTGCTCACACACACACAGGCACGCCTGCTGACACACACACACACGAGCATGCCTGCTCACACACACACACACACAGGCACGCCTGCTCACACACACACAGGCACGCCTGCTGACACACACACAGAGGCACACGTGTTGGCACACACACACAGCTCACACACATGCACACACAGTCACCCTTGCTGGCATATACACGCCCGCCCACCCTCACCATCTGCTCACACTCGCCGGCCCCACGTAGCTGGCCAGCCAGCAACTCCAGCACAACCTCGCAGTTGAGCAGCCCACACCTGAAGGAGGAGACGTGCACAGGTGAGTGGCACAGGTGGTAGTGGTCCCTCCTCCCCGTCCCGGGGGGCCAGGGCTGCCCCAACTCACTCTTTGAGGAAGCACTGCACCTCGTTGGGGCTCAGGAAGGCACAGGATCCCTGAGTCAACCTCCGCACCAGGCTGAGTTCTTGCTGGCAGTCGCTCGGGGCCACAGCCTCAGCCCTGGCAGAGGTGGTGGCAGGTCAGGGGCCCCAGGCTTGGGCAGTGGGGTACAGCCAAGGACCCCAACCGCATTCTACACCAGGCTGAGCTCTTGCTGGCAGTCACTCAGGGCCACAGGCTGGGCCACCCCCAGGCACCCCTGTGGCTTTGGCTCACCTCTCTGCCAACTCCCCGAATTCCCGGCTGGCACCTGAATGGCTGTCACTGCCCGAGCGGCTGCCCAAGTCAGAGGTCCTGCTCCCGCTGCTGCCCGGAGAGGAACTCTGGGGGCTCAGGCTGCTGTCCAAGTCGTCCCAGCCCCCTCCGGCCTGCCCTGGCTGGTGTCTGGCATCTGGATGTGACAGGGACAACAGGTTTGACCTCGGGACTCTCAGGTTGGGAGCCCCAGTGGCTGTGTCCTGTACAGAGGCCCTGATGACTGCACCGCCAGGCCTCCTGTCCCCCGCCACCCACATGGGAGCTCACAAGTCTACAGTGTCAATGGCCACCGCCAAACTTGGACCTCTAGACCTCGCCTTAGTACCTCGGGCAGCTGGGATGGCCCCACAACTCCCAGGGACAGAGCAGCTGTGGCTGGCGCCCGGTGTCTGGGCTGGCTGGTAGGTGTCATCCTGGAGCAGGGGCCTGTGGGTGGCGGGGTCCTCGGGCCCGGGGCGCACGGCATTGGCCACAACCTCCGCAGCCTTCTGGATGGTGGACAGGAGGGCCTTGCCTGCAGAGCCTGCATGAAACAGGACACGGCACAGATGGCGTCCTGGGGGACACCCGGTCTCTTCAGGAGCTTCCTAGTATACCCCACGTAAGCAATTCCTGGGCCCCTGCAGGAGGTAGCCCCAAAGCAAAGTCTGAGCCTGCGCCAGGATGGCTCCCCCATGATGTTTCACGGCTGCTGGGGCGCTGGGCTGCAGGACAGCCAGGCAGGCTGCCCACCTGCAGCCTTTGTACCCCGACAGGCACCCATGATGGTAATAGTGCCCTGACATTCTACTCCCAGCCAGGCCACTACCATTGGCCCTTGAGGAGCTGGACGGCCTATCTAGCCGGACCTGGCCAGGCCCCCGCCTCCCACCTGTCCCCAGAACAGCCTGCCAGAGCAGGAAGGGACAGGCTCCACACTGGGAGAGGGGACCAGGACAGCCACTCATGGGACCTAGCCAGTGCCAACCACCTCTACCCGCCCCCCGTGGCGACCCTTCCAGGTACCTGAGCAGCCCCCCTAGGCCCCCCCCCAGTACCTGAGCGGTCCCCCATAGGCCCTTTCAATACCTGAGCAGCCCCCACAGGCCCCCCACTACCTGACGAGTCCCCCAGAGGCCATTCCCCCTTATCTAAGCAGCCCCCATAGGTACCCCCAGTACCTGAGCGGCCCCCCACAGGCCATCCCCCCCTTGTACCTGATTGGCCCCCATCCTGGCTATAGCCGAAGCCCTGCAGTGTACCGTCAAGCCTGGACTGCGAGCCCATACCTGGGGAAAGGCCTGGTGTAAGCGGCCAAGCACCCAGCACCGGCCCCCAGCCCCACGGGGCCAAGGAGGCTGTGGTACCTGCTGGAGGCAGGGTCCTGGGGGGTTGTGACGAGGGCAGGGGCAAGGTGGCGTCCGTGAAGAGGGTGCTTCCCAGGTCCTGAAGGGGAGGCGCGGCCTCAGCGGAACCAGGTTGGGGGAACCCTGCTGTCCTACCCTTACCCCAGCTGGACACTGAGATTGCTGGCCCCCTCAAGTCCCCTCCCAGCCTGGCTCTCATGTGGCTCCCAGGGGCTCACCTGAGCAGCCGCCCGCACCTTCTGGTACAAACTGTTTCCATGCAGGGGATCTGGGGGCCCTGAGAAAGCTGAGGACAAAGTGGGGGGCTGCAACCAGCCAGGGCGCCAGGAAACACCACACCACCCCAGGACCCTGGGCTGCCTGATCCATGCCTCTTGTTGGGAGTCCATTCCCACGGCCAACCGTATGCCTCGCTCTGGACTCACACCCGGGGTTCCCCTGCCAGCCCCCACAGAGTCAGGCTCTCCCCTGGACTAAACCCAGCCAAAGGGCAGCTCCCCGAGGAGCTGCTCCCCCCAAGAGCGTCCGTCGGGCAGTGCCTGCACGGGGCAGGGGTCACCGACCACCCCGGCTCAGGGCACTGCGGTGACCACCGAGCAGACAACGGGCCCCCAGCTGCCCACACTGCGGGTCCCGGGTCTGGGGGCGCCCCCCGCACCCGTGGCCTCCTGGACGAGGGCCGCATTCTGCCGGAGGATGAGCAGGAAGGAGGCGGAGCCGTGGCCGCACAGGTATCGCAGGATCTTGAGCACCTGGGGAGCAGCGGTCACTGGGGGCCGCGCCGGACGCGCCCCTCGCTCCTGCCCCCCAACTCGCCGGGCCGGGGCCCACCTTGAGTTTCACGTGGCCCGAAGTGCTGTGCAGCCGGCCCAGCAGGTACTCCAGCAGGCACTGGCTGCTGCCCAGGGACTCGTGCGAGATTTCTGGGGTGCGCTCGGGTTAGGGAAGGGGTGCGCTGACCCCAGCCGTCCCCCAGCCGCAGCCCTGCCCGGAGCAGGTTGGGGACCCCTCCCACCCCGTCCCCACCCCGGGGGGGGGCGCTCGGCAAGGATACTGGCGATCTCCTCAAACAGGTAGCCGGGGCACGGGGCGGCGTCGTCCGCTGTGCCCTTCAGGAGGATCGGCAGCTGTGAGGGACACGGCGCGGCCCGTGAGCGGACGCCAAGGCGCCGACCCCGGCCTGGACACCCCGGCTTCAGTCGGCGAGGGCTGCAGGGCAACCGCGGTCCCAGCCGCCATCCCGCGGGCTGCCCACCAAGCAGGGCCATCCTGGCTCACCCGGTGCAGGAAACTCAGGCGGTCCCGCAGCTGCGGGGCGGCCGCCATGGTCCCGGTCGCCGCCCGGCCTGTCTGCCCCGCTTCCGCCAGGCTCCGAGTCCTCCAATCACCTTGCGAACCTGACTCCTCCCGCCAATCGCTGGCGACGGGGCGGGCCCCGAGCGCAGCCTCGTAAACAACTTGAGCCTGAGCCAATCCGAACTCCCGACCCAGAAACAGACGAGGACAGCAGCCAATCGCAGACGCTCGAGGTGGGAGCGCAGGCCTATCACGCCGCGGGACGCCGGAAGAGGACGGGTCAAGATGCCGGCGGACCGGGCGGTGTGGGAGCGCGTGCGGAGTCGGCTGCGTTCGTTCCCCGAGCGCCTGGCGGCTTGCGGGGCGGAGGTGCGGGCGGAGGCTGGGGCGGGGCGGCGGGGCCGAGGTGCGGGGCGGGCCTGCTCACTGCGCGTCCCTCCGCAGGCCGCGGCTTACGGCCGGTGCGTGCGGGCGTCCACGGCCCCGGGCGGCCGCCTCGGCAGGGACCTGTGCGCGCGCGAGTTCGAGGCCCTGAGGAGCTGCGTGGCGGCCGCGGTAGGTGCGCGGGGCGCGGGGCGGGCGGCGGGCCCGGCCTCCCCAGCGAGCGGACGCCCTCCCTTGCAGGCCAGCAGGACGCCGCCCGGAGGCCGCCCGCCGCTCCCCCGCGCAGCCGAGCGCGTGGACACCCGGACCCCGCCTCGACCCCTGCCGGGCGCCGCGTCCACTCGTGCAAATAAATGATGGAAAGCTCCCGCGCGGCAGGTCACTCGCGGTCACCCTCGGCACTGCCCCTCTGGCGCCCGCGCAGCACCCCGCCTGCCGCCCTGCGGTGCAGGCACGGGGTCTCCGCGCAGCCCCCCGGGGCCAGCTGGTAGCCACGTCGGGCCGCTTTCATCTTGCAGCTGCTTCATCAAGCCAGGGGGGTAAAGGGTGGCTGTGCCAACCCTGCCCGCTCCCCAGGGCTTCACGTGAAGCTGGGCCCGGCCTTGGCTCCCGCAGGCAGGCGGGAAGGTCCTGGCCTGAGGCAGGCAGCCCCAGGTCTACTCCCGGGGAGTGCGGCCGGCAGGATGACCGCCTGCTGTGCCCACAGCACCCCAAGAACGCAGGTGGAGCAGAAGCGTTTATTGAGCCATTCCCGCCCTCTGCTGGGCCCGTGGTCAGCTGCTTGGGAGGCTGCAGGGCCAGCCAGTCTAGCCCCAGTGGACACTGGTCAGAGGGCAGGGGGCACCGTCCTTTGGGTAGGAGCACAGCGTGGCCGCTGGACAGGTCCTGGTGACGCAGGGCGAGCACCCAGCTGACAGGAAGCCTGGAGTGCTAGAGGCTCAGGCCTCCTCCGGGGCCCGGGGCCACTGGCTGAGCTGCCGGCTCTGCACCACGTGCAGCGATGCCCCCGCAGCCTGGCGGAGCTGCGTATCCAGGGCGCCGTGTAAGTTGTTGCCCCTGACGTCGGGCAGGTCGTGGAAGCTGAGCACAACTCGGTCCCTGGCAGCGGGCTCACCGTGGCCCAGGTCCCGCCTTCTCCGCAGGTCAACGCCCGCCTGTGCTTTCAGGCCCTGGTTGGGTCTGGTGGTGTCAGGCTGCTTGTCCTCAGGTCCAGGCCCTGGCTCCAGTCTTGGCTTAGAGTCCTGGGCAGCAGTGACCCTGGCCCTGGCCTGCTCTTGGGCGGGGGCATGACCCCCACCGGGCACCTCCTGGGCACCACCCTGGCCCGGCTGCTGGTCCTCCTGTCCGACCTGGGGCACAGGCGGCTGCTCTGGCAGGCCCAGTGCAGCCTGGGGCTGAGGGGCCACAGCCTCCGACCTGCTGGATGGGCGCACTCCAGGCACCAGGGCTGGGCCAGTCGGCCTGGGCTGCTTGAGCGGGCCCCTGCGGTCTCCCTCTGCCCCGGCCGCAGGCCTGCCTGCCTCCTTCCCAGACCTCTTCCTCTCCGGGGCTCCCTCACCCGCGGTGTCTTGGCTCTGTGCAGGCGGGCCCCCAGGCCCAGCAGCGTCCGGCCCCAGCACCTGCTGCTCTTGCACAGCGCCAGCCTTCCCGGCATCCTTCCAGCTTTCTGCAGGCCTGGCCTGGGCTGCCTGGGGCTCTGAGTCGGGGGCGCCCGCCTGCTCTCTGCTGATGGCCCCCTTGTGCTCCAGCTCCCCGGGTACAGCGGGCTGCGAAGGGTGCTGCTCCACCGTCTCTCCCGCCTGGCCTGCGGGGGCCTCCTCCTGGCTTGCGGGCACGGCAGCCCCGGGTTCAGCCTGTGCATCCACTGCAAACAGAAGTCGCCAGCTCAGCCAGCATAGGTCACCTGGCAGGCCCCCCCGGACCCTGCCGGGACCCCCCCGCCCTGCCGGGACCCCCCCCTCTACCCTGCCGGGACCCCCCCCGCCCTGCCGGGACCCCCCCCTCTACCCTGCCGGGACCCCCCCCCGCCCTCCCGGGACCCCCCCCCGCCCTGCCGGGACCCCCCCCCCCGCCCTCCCGGGACCCCCCCCGCCCTGCCGGGACCCCCCCCCGCCCTCCCGGGACCCCCCCCCCCCGCCCTGCCGGGACCCACCCTCCTCGTCGCCCCGCCTCTGCTGGTGGATCTCCTTGTGCTGCTCCTCTATGACGGCCAGCAGCTTCTCCTGCTGCTCCAGCAGTCGCTTCTGCTGCACCTGCTGCTCCTTGATGACCTGCAGCAGCACGGCATGCTCCAGCATCTCGGCCCGGCCTGCGTCTGAGGTGGGAGACCAGCGTCAGGGGGCTGCCACCAGGCCTCCGTCCCTCACACTCACCTGGGCTTGGGAGCTGGGCCCCAGGACACCCTCTGGAATGCCCAGGGGCCAGCGCCCATCCCAACTCCAGCCAGGGAACGAGTGAGCTGGGGCGTAGGCATTGGCCCCGGCCCCTGCGCTGGCAAGCATGAGAGGAACACTGGAGTCCCATGGTGGGAACCAGTGACAACCAGAACTTTACGGCAGGGGCACCTGTGTGGCCAGGCCAGCACTGCCACACACACAGGGACCTGGTGGGCAAGGGTGCCTGGAAGCTGCTGGGACCAGGGGAGCCATCCTGGACCCGAGGCCACTCAACCCTGGACAGGGCTCAGTCCAGTTTTCACTGGCAGTAAGCTCCATCAGGAGCAGGGCCCCTGCTGCCACAGGGTCTCCTGCAGCCCCCTCCCATGCAGGGAGCCCATGGCCGATCGCACAGAGGTCAGAGGCACAGCACGGGCAGGTAACTCCTGCTGTGCAGCCCCCACCCACAGGAAGGCTGGGGGAGGGGATGAGCAGCCCCCGCATCCAGCAGGAACCCGCCTGGGGCAGATAGAGCCCGTGGGGACAGGCTGCAGGAGGGGTGGAGCTGTCTCGAGCACAGGGTGACGTGGGGGCCCTGGCTGAAAGGACATCAGGAAGCCCGCATACCTGCCACGATCTTTTTAATTTCAGCTGCATGTCCCGTCCCAGGCAGGCAGGGAAGAGAGCGAGAGACAGAAGGCAGTCAGAGGACAGCAGGAGGGAGACAGCATGAAGGCAGGGCAGCCAGAGACGCCCCCGGGGAGCCCTGAGGACCAGGGCCCTGCAGCCACCCCCACTCCCTGCAGGTGCCAAGGAGGTCAGCACACAGACCAGTGGCAGCTGGGCACAGGGTGGCCACTCGCAGCTCCTGGGCGGCAGGTCCCCCGGCTTACCCTCCAGCTTGCTGCCCGCGTGCTCCCCGCCCACGTCGGCCTGCTGTGCAGGTGCTGGTCCTTCGGCAGGCACACCTGTACCCACAGATGCAAAGCAGGGTCACTCACCTGGGTTAACCTTGCCCCTGTGTGACAGGCCCCTGGGGCTCCCCCACCCCGCCAGGAGTGTCCGCCACCCACCAGGGTCACTGTCTGCAGGCTCCTGCAGGCTTCGAGCGGCAACAGCCTCTGCCTTCGCCCCTGCTCTTGCTGCCAAAGCCCGCTCCTCAGAGGCTGCTGCTTGGGGCCCCGGATCCTCCTTCATAGGCTGGACAACGGGCTGACCATTTGCTTCTGGAACTTTCTGGGGACCTTCCAGGACATGGCCCACTTCCTCCCCGGCCGCTGGTACCTCAGGCTCCCGCTGCTGCTGCTCCGGGGCCACAGCCCGTGCCCCTATGAGCTGGGAGGGCACTTTGTTCCCCTCGGGTCCTTCCTGATCTTCCCCAGTGTCCACTACCACCTTGTCGTGGGGGACAGGCGGCTCGTGGCGGTGGGCCTCACCCAAAGGCACAGCGACACCTGTGGGTCACCAATGGCGGGGTGGGTGAGGACCCCCTACTAGCCACCCTGACTGGGCCCCTCCCCGCAGGCAGACTCCCATCGCAGGTGCTATGGCCCAAGGGACAGCGGGGAGGACCAGCTCCAGCAGCAAGGCTGAAACCAGACTCGGCCCGAGTGTTGCCACGAACCACAGCCTCAGCCTCACCCTGCTCCGGGCGGTCCAGCTGGGCGGCTTCCAGCCTCTCCTTGGTGTCCACTCCATCGGGCACGTCCACGGGACCCTTGATCTGGGCCTGCTCTGGCTCCCCTCGCCCCTCGGGCAGCTTCGGCTTCTGCCGGCTATCCTCGGCCACAGCCCCGTCCACGACGGGGTCCTGGACTGTGAGCAGACACCCCCGCTGACCGCATGTCCGGTGGCTCGCGGCTGGGGCCGCCCGCCCTGCGATGCCGACGACTTCCACCAGGGGGCGCGCGAAGCCACGCAGCTCACAGCCCGCCCAGGCGTGCATGCTGCCCAGGCCAGCACCCACCTGCGAGCCGGGCCGCGTCCTCCTTGGCCTTCACGCCGCCAGCAGCCTCTCCCGGCGGATCACCTGCAGCTGCCCTCGCCAAGTCCACCGGCGCCTCCTCACTCACAGACAGAGTAGTGAGTGTGCTGACTACCAGGACGCCCAGGCCGACCCACAGCACCACCTGTGTGAGACGGAGCCCCATGCATGGTCACGGGCACAAAGCTGCCTGTGAGGACCCATCAGCCGGGGGCCATGGCACCAGCAGCCATGGCATGAGAGGAGCCTGGGGCAGGGTTGCACATGAAATACGTGGGGGCACCAGCTGGCTGCCAGCTGGCTGCCAGCTGGAAGGGATCTGGTCCACACTTCAACACACAGAGCACTGGGGCTGCAGAACGCAATGGGAGGCAGGAGCAAGGAGAGGGCTCCAGCCCCCTAACCCAGCAGGTGCCTCCTTGCTCAGGGGCCTGCCCCAGAGGAGCCCCCAGCAGCTCCAGCCACGCTGGCTGCTCCCACAGCTGGCCAAGCAGTGCAGGGCGTGAGCTTCCAGGAGGACAAGCTAGGTGGCTCCTGCTCAGTTACCCCAAAACCCACGCCTGCAATAGTGCCACAGGCCAGGCCCAGCGTGCCTCAAGGTCCAGCAGTGGCCACGCTGGACAGAGCAGAGGGATGATGGCACAGCTGCCCAGCAAGAGGGGCCCAGGGTCGTGCCCAGGGTGCAGTGGGGAACGAGACAGAGCAGACTGCCTCACAGCAGCAGCTGCCAACCCATGATGCTGTGTGCCCTCCAGAGCAGAGCAGGCAGCGTGGGCACCCACCCTGCTACCCGGAACTGAGCCTGGAGCAGCCCCTGGGTCCCAGCAGACGGGGCCAGCCCCCAGTCCATGTGGGCCATAGTAAGCGGAGCTGACCCGCCTAGTCCACGTGGGCTTCAGTGGGCAGATGCAGACCCCAGTCCACGTGGGCCACAGCTGGTGGAGTGTAAGCAAGAAGGAAGCGGCTCCCATCTGCCCAGCTGTGCAAGCAGCACCAGGCCCACGGTGC